GGCTCCGCATCCCTCCCCACAGCAGGCTGTGATCACTGTCCCCATCTCACAGATGGAGAAACTGAGCTGCGGAGGGTGGGGATGACTTCCCCAGAATAAATCAAGTGGCAGATTTGGGAACAGGACTGTCAGGTCCCAGGGGGCTCAAATCCCCCCTGCTCAGCACTCACAGCCTCCCAGGGATGCTGGGGGCAGCGGGGAACAGAAAGGCTTGAACAAAGCCAGAGCTTCTGGGGGAAAACGTTAGCCTAAACCACAAGAATGTCCTCATTTCTTTTTGACCTAAATACTACTAGAGAAGAGCTTGAACACACCCACTCCAGCACCTCCCGATCTCAGCAGAGGCAGCTGCAACTCCCAGGGGAACACAATGCGGGGGGGGGTCCTGAACCTTTAATTGCACCTACAGGGAAAAGCTGACGGGAGAGGAGTCCTGGATATGCACCAGGGAAAGGGGTTGCAGGGGGGGAGAAAACCCTCAGAAAAATCAAATTAACGGCACTTTAAAGGGAGCTGAAAGCCAGGCAGAGGACTGCAGGCTCGTCAGCCTGATGAGAAGAAACAAACCGTCAGCTTGAAAGGCGTGCTATCTTATCTGTAACTAGTGGGACTAGAAAAGAGAAAAGGCAGGGAAGAGATTGTGCCTTTTAATTAAAAGCAGATCCTTTTATCTGCCAGCTGTGGAAGACAAGACACCATCCCCTCCACCAGTTCCCTCCCCTCTCCCTGTCACCAGTGCCATCCGCAGGCATGTGTAGGGATGGGGATTTGGGGGAGCAAAGGGTTTTTCTTTCTTTCCCCTTTTTATTATCTTGTTTTCGATGCCTGCTCCATCCACAGCACCTGGGCTGGTTGTGGCTGTGGCTGGCAGGGTCGGGGCCTCGGGAGCCAGCTCAGGGGGATAATGGGCAATTAGGTTTTATCAGCAGGATCATACAAGGAATTCTGTCCAATTTCAGAGCATCCGTCTGTCACGTAACGAGAGACCGACTGCCCGCTCACAAGCAGCCCTCACTACCCTCCTCGCTCTCTTTTCTCCCGTTTGGAGAAATGGAGGGGAATTCCTTAACTGGAAAAATCCCCAAATCCCACCCAAAATGAGTTCGCTTCCTCTGACAAAGCTGCTTTGCCTGTTCCCATTCCCACTCCGAAATGCAGCAGGGAAAGGGTGGGAGCACACTGAGCCTTGGGACGGTATGAGACCCTGCAAGACTCCCACGTTAGCAGCACAAGGATCCCTCACCCTCTTTGCACTCCAAGGCCACCCGGGACTCCAGGTTGTCCATCTGCAGCTGGAGGCGTTTCAGGGTCCGGTCGGCATCTCGGGACTTGCGCTTGTAGGCGATGAGGACGATGATGATGATGAGGAGGAGCAGACCGCCCCCAGCCGATCCCGATGATGGCGGGCAGGGTAAGCAGGCTGTCTGAGTAGATCTGCAGCGTTCCCGGGGAGAACTCGAACCCTCCAGCCTTAATCTGTGATGAGGAGGAGCAGACCGCCCCCACCGCCGATCCCGATGATGGCGGGCAGGGTAAGCAGGCTGTCTGAGTAGATCTGCAGCGTTCCCGGGGAGAACTCGAACCCTCCAGCCTTAATCTGTGGCATGGCAGGGGAAAAAAAGGACCTGACGTCAGGGGGCACATGCCCAGGGCAGCCCTCCCCACCGTGCCCGCTGTGCTGGGAACTGGGGGACGACTCCCAGCCCAGGGGAGGAAGGATGCAGAAAAACGCAGGGGTGGCAGGAGCTCGTCCGGACCAGCACGGCAAGCTTTAATGGGATGCAGGACACATGCTGCCAGCGTGCACCGAGCAGGCAGAGAGTTTGATGTCTCATTCAGACAACATTACAGTAACAGATGGGATGTGAAGCGAGTTCCCCCACGGGTGGGGAGCCTGGGGGGGACCGTGCAGGGTCCCTTTCAACCTGGCAGGGTCCTGGAGTGCGAGCACTACTGCGCTACAACCCCACAAACAAAGGAGCCTTCCTTACAGCGTGAGCTGGCACTGGGGGGAAGGGGTGGGAACACCCCCCCGCCTTGGCACTGGCTGTGCCTTGGCACCCAGCAGGGAAGGGAGGTTGTTGGCAGGGCCAGCCAGGGCCACCCAGGGCGCAGGAACGCCCGGCTGAGTGTGCCAGGGAGAGGACAAAGTATTTGGTCCTACCAAATATGTAATTAGGGAGAGAGATGCCCAGGGAGCAGGAATATGGCTCCTGAGGATGCTCCTGCACATACACTGACTATCTGGTCCTCATCCGAGGATGAGCACGCAGCAGGGCTGGTGCCGGGATAAAGACTGAACCTCTGTGACACGAGAAGCAAAGGCACCAGTGTCAGCACTTACCGTGACTTTGTGCTGGCCAGTGAGGTTAGGGGACTCACAGAGGAGCTGGGTCTCGGAGACGGTCAGGGTGCAGGGAGTGTCTCCGATCAGCACTGTGTAGTTCAGGCGGGAGTTACCAGCAGCCGGCGGGAGCAGGTTCCTGCCCTTTGAGGGAACAAGGAAGGAGATTTTCAGTTCTCATGCAATGGGAAATGTTTAAAAAAAACCAACACAAAGCAAATTCATGCTCTCGCAGTGCAGGACTTTGCCCCAGGAGAGACAAAAGGACACCTCCACAGAGGAACACGTCCCTGCCCCTCTGCCCCGGGGTGCACGCTGCCTTACCTTGAGGATGAGGGGAGAGCTGGGCTTCAGCTCCAGCATTCCCGTGGGGCTGAGTGGCTCGAAGACAGGGTCCGGGTAGTAGACAAAGTTGGTGGTGTTGATGATCAGCAGGGCCTGGACATTATCCATGACGAAGCCAATCTCATCCGGGCGGTCGCCAACCTCCGGAGGGCTCCGCACAGGGTTGTCGATGGAGGGCGCGTAGCACACCATGGTGGTATCGTTGTAGACGGTGCAGTTCTGCAGGAGGCAGAGACCGAGGTCAGACCCGGCTCCCGACAGGGAGGTCAGGATTGGACCCCACAAGGATCTCCTGCAAGCAGCAGCTCTGGACACAGGGTTTAGACTTGGGATCTCCTGTCCTGCGCTATTACATCAACAGGCACCACATTCCACCCCAGGGCAGAGACAGACTCCTGTTTGCAATGGAGGTGTGAGGGGTGGCAGGTGGGAGCTCACTGGGGACGGGCTTTTTCTGTCACTATCCTGCAGACTTCCCACCAACCTCCCATCAGTTTTGCACACTCAGATCTCACCCCTCTTCTGGCAGCACCTGGCCGGAGGCCCTGCAGGGAGATCGGTGCCTCTCTGAGTGGCAGCCCCTGGACCTCAGCCTTTCCATGCCACCACACCTGATGGGCAAGTGATGCGCGTTCCGCCCTGCATTGCAGAGGGACGGCATCCCCTCCTCCTTGTGCTCTGCCCCCAGCCCCAGCCAGCACACCATACATTCTCCCTTTCAGAGCTGCAATACTTGGCCCGGATCCTGGGCTCTCTGCCCCCAGCCAGCCAGCACACCACTTACATTTTCCCTTTCAGAGCTGCAATACTTGGCCCGGATCCTGGGCTCTTTGATGGTGGCCAAGTTGGTGCCAGTCACAGTCAGCAGCGTCCCACCGCTAGAGACATGGAGACAACAGGTTAGGAGAGGCAGCTTGGCACTGGGTCCTCACTTCTGGGAGGGAAGTGTCCAACCTCACCAGCCAAACGCCCATCTGCCCCAGCTTGGGTGCACCACAATGCCCCGGGGACCTTTTATCCCACTCAGGTGTCACCACAGCCAGCAGGATCTGGCATTCACCACCACCAAATCACCTCAGCTGACCAAAGGGCCAACTAGAGATATAAAACCTGCTAATTAACACTGACATCCCATCCCGTCTTCAGGTTTGGGGTCTGAAGGCAGCTCCCAAGCTAAAGGAGACCAAGCGTCCACAATGGGAAAGCATCCGGAAGAGGAGGAGGTCCTGTCTGCCACCCCCTTCTCCACCACGCAGGCAGCAGGTGGCAGGGCAGGCTGAGCCCTGCTGGGTTTTCTCCATGGCTTGGTGTTAAAAGCCCCACAGTCCCAGAGAGCTCGGCCATGCCCCTGGGGAGCTCGCTCCTCATCAACACCCTGGGGAAGGTTTCCCTTGGCACTAGCGCTTAATGGATTCCTTCGCGTCCTCTCCAGCCAATTCAAACCTTTTAGAAAAATACGTAAACATTTCAAAAAATCCCCCAATAGGAAACATTTTAATTTTATTCGCCACCGCCAAATGTCAAGCTGAAATTAAGCAGATCCAAAGAGCTCTCTGCTCTTGCCCCCTGCCAGGCTGAGCACTGCAGGCCAGGAGTTAGCAGGACCCCAGTGCCAAGCCATTGCTCACGCTCCTCTCTCCTCTCGCCACGTCTCTGGAGCATGGCCCGGTGGCTATTGCAGCAGCACTGGGATGTACCCATCAGGAGGGGGGGATCCGTGCAGAAAACAGCCCCCCCTGTGTCCCACAAGCTCCCTGCAGGCACCCCTTGATTCACCTGTTGATGCTCCACTCGGGATCGATCTTCTGGATGGTGGGGTCCTCTGTGTAGTTGTACTTCACCTCCGGGTTGCTCAGTTCTGCCCGGTTGATGTTGATGAGAATGGGGGAGCCACCGGGGGTGTGCCCAGGGGGGGTCCTGCACCGGATCTCACGGGCGCTTCTCCTAGGGCAGAAACGCACAATCTGTCAAAGCCTGGGCAGGAGAGAGGCGAGGGCAGCCGGGGCAGCGATGCTGCCCGTGAGCCCTCGGCCCCAGCCCCTCTCCCCTTCTGAAACTGTCGGGGGGAGGGGGGACGGGAAGAGAGAAAGGAGGAAAAAAAGAAAAAAAAACCCAAGAAATGAAACAAAAGGCAGCCGGGAAAGGCTGAGCAGCTCCTGAGCGTTCCCATCACGCGGCTGCTGCAAACAGCAGCGATTAGGGCTGATAACCAGTAATTACCGCAGGAAAATATTTAAAGAGCCGCTCCATTATCATCCTTAATCTAAAAATTATCCACTTCATGCCTCAGGGCTTCGTGCTTTTAGAGAAAAATCCACGTTCTTTGGGCTCTTCCTGCAGCCTCTGACACACAAAGGTTTCAGGGGGAGACGCCTCCGGCTGCCCATGGGGTTTGGCTCCTGGGATCCCTCCTGGCTCCCCAGCACAGGCTCCCAGCCGCTGCTCTATCTGGGAGTCCCACTGCCTCTGGAGGTGCCCGTCACCCATCCTCCGCCACCCTCCATGCCCCTCACCATGAAAAAGCACAGGGCCGTCCCCCGATGGTCACGGAGACGTTGCTGCCAGCGTTGAGGTGGCTGCCTTCAATGGCGATCCAGGTGCCACCAGAAAGAGGGCCCCGGGCTGGGACCACACGGGAGAAAGTGGGCGTCTATCAAAGGAAAAGAGCATCCCTGGTGTCAGACGGGCTGGGGACCGAAACCCATGTCCCCAAGCAACCCCAAGCGGGTGACAGGGCCGCAGAGGAGAGGGACCCATGGGGCAGCAGCAGGGCATGGTGCTGAGGGCTGGCAGTGCCAGCAGGACAGCAGGGAGGCAGAGCAGTGGCAGCCTTGGAGAAATTCAACCAGCATGACCCAACGCCCGCCCAGAGCATCCCCGCCTGCCCCCCAGGGAAATGACAGCCAGTTTTCCTGCTCGCCTGGAAAACCACCCCAAACCACCCAGGACCAGCCCGGTCCCCCAGCATGGGGCTTACCACAAAAGTGAAGCTCTTGGGGGACGTGGCCCGGTAGCTGGGCGAGCAGTCGCGGATGCACACTTCTACCCGTGCCTCGTGGACCTTGCTCGGGCTGGCATCTCCAATTTCACACACGATCCTAAGGGATGTGGGGAAGGAGCCCTCAGTGCCCTGGCACCGAGACACTCCCTGAGCCATGGTGGGGATGGACCAGCTTCAGAAAGCGGCAGATCTGGCACCAAGCAAAGGTCCCAGGTGCCAGCAGGGTTCATGAGAAACCAAGGTGGTGGCTGTTGGCACTGCCAGCTCTGGAGGGAGCTTCCCCAAAGCCTTTGGGCTCCTTCCAGAGTGACCACAACCAGCAGGTACTTCTCTCCCAGTCCAGCCCAGTCAGTCTCATGTCTTCTTGCAACCACGGGCAGCATTTGAGCACCAGCACCCCAACCCCCATGTACCGAGGTGACCCGGAGCGCGCCCACCCCTCGCTGGGCACTTACTGCTCAGCGCTGATGTACTCGCTCTCAATGGGGATGCACATCACTTTGCCGACTCGAACGCCCCAGCGAACATCTTCAAACTTCAGGCCCAGGTTCTCTCCAGTGATGGTCAGACGGGTCCCTCCTTGCCTGGGGCCGGTCTCGGGTGACAGCTAGGAGAGAGCACCGCCTGTCAGCTGAGGGAGTGGAGCTGCAGGGACACCTCGCTCGGGCAGGCTGCAGCCCGGGCAGCTGCGGGATGTGAGTTACTCCCCCACGAGTGGTGAGGATAAATGCCAGCACATCTGCAAGGAGCACACAGAGCGGGAAAGACCTCCCGAATGACAGCCGTGCCCACAAATCCTCCCAGGAACAAGCCAGGAGATGCCAGATGTGTCCGAGCAGAGAGCTGGGATTTGGACACCCTGCTGCAGACGAAGCCACCTCACAGGTGATAAGGACACGGACGGGAAGGAGACAGGGTAGCATCAGCCACGGCTCCAGCTGAGCCAGCAAAGAAGCACGTGGATCTGCCCGGCTTTTGGCCAGGTCCCACGTACTCAGGGATGAGGTCCCCACGTCCAACATGTCCTCAAAGGAGAAAGCATTTCCACCAGGTCCCTGTGCAGAGCAGGCAGGGGGGAGAAGGGTTTCTCTCCACCGGCAAACCCTGTGCTGAGGCCAGCTGGGAAGGGAGGGCACCTCACCCCAGCGCCGTGCCTCATTTACCAGGATAATGCCCAATAAAGTGGACAGGTGTGGCCTGACAGACAGCAGCAGGATGAGGGATGAACGGAGGCGCGGGCCCACCGCTGCCTCCGGCCAGGCAGTTTTACACCAGCGCTCGCCAGCGCCGGGGCCCAGCGCCCACCTGCAGCGCTAACTGGGATGAATGGCAGGGCTGTGAGCCGCAGCTGGGACCGGGGACAGGGCTGGGTCACCGGTGACACTGAGATGGAGCAGGGGAAAAGGCAGCCACAGGCAGCAGGCAAAGGAGAGAGTAACAGGGTCTGGGTTGGTCCAGGAGGAAGGTGCGTCCTGACCCAGGGAAAGAGACCATTTTGTTGCAGGTGATGCCCCCCTCTGCTCATGCTCCTGCGGCATTGGCAGAGATCCCCTCTAACACCAAGAGGCATCTCTGCCAGTGCTAAGCCCAGCACCTGGACAGGCTCATGCTACGGCCATGCTCATGCCACAACCAAGCATGTGAGAGCTCTTTGCAATTCCTGGCAAATCTGGGTGGCTGCAACCCTGGGGCCTGAGCCAGCTGGAGCCTCCTCTTCCTCCTTTTCCTCCTCCTCACACAGGGCTAGTCCTGGATGCCACCCCCGCAGCGAGGAAAGACAGACAAGCAGAGGGTGGGAAACATGCAGCAGTGGACGCTGTCCACATCCCCAGCCCTGATGGACTGCGCAGAGCTGAGGACCATTTCTGCAGGGCCCCACTGCAGCCATCTCCCCTCTGGGGTTAACCACCATCCTCCGGATTTGCACCAGGCTGATCACCTTCAGCGTGCTCGAACAGGGGCAGCTGGTCCCCCCTGCATGCAGGCAGCCTGGGGACGTGTTCAGGGGCAGTGGCAGAGCTGGGACCAGTGCCCGGGGCCCCAGCTCCCGCCGAGGCAGCCACAGCTCACAATTTACATGGCAACAAAACCCTCCAGGGCTGCAAGGAACCACTGTTTGCCTAAACCCAGCTCAGCCCCTGCCCAAGTCCAGGATTGGGGCTCATTATGGCAGCTGCAGCCAGCATCAGGTTGGGTCTTCCCCCTAAATCAAGCTCTGTCAGGGTGGCTGGCAAGAAGTGGCTGTTTGTTTGGTGTTTCTAAATGAACGTTAAAAGCTGCTCTGTCGCGTTAGATTCCTCCTCCTCCTCGGCAAAGCTGACAAGGGCCACGCGTTCAGGGAGAAACGAGCCCAGGAATGAAATGACATTGTTGGCTGCCCAGCGTGGGAAGGTCAGGGCTAAACAAGGCGTGCGGGAGGAGGGAGCTGGCAAGGAGAGCAGGGGCTGCCCCGAGCCTCGCCTTTCCCCCCTCCACTTCTGAACCCCCAGCCCTGACAACCACCACCGCTTTTCTGCTAATTGGCTTCACAGGGTCCTTTCACATCAACAGGCAAACGGCTCTGGTGGGTGCAAGCAGTGGGCTCGCTCCTGGCTCCAGCGGCCACAGCAGGGCCAGGAGGTGCCGAGGCCAAGGGGATCCCCCTTCCCAGGGGAAGGATATCGCTCTGAGGGTGACAGCCAGCACTGGGCAGGACCCCACAGAGGTTTGGAGGGGGCTTGTCCCCACCACCGAGCAATGGGTAAGTGATTCTTCACCCTTGGAGTGAAGAATCATGGTCATCTCCCAGCCCAGCCCCACCACCCATGAAGACACCTGCACCCAGCGGGCTGGGCAGGAAGGAGACTCCAGCTCCTCCTGAAATCACTGTAGGAGACTTCTCTTTTCCCCCACCACCCCACGCTGCCCTCTCCATGCCAGACTGCTCTCCAGAGTGTTTCCAAGCCTGCCCGCTGCCTGGGGTGCAGGACAGGGGTTGTGGGAAGCAGCAGGCAACAGGCAGGCTGCCAGAGGAGCATCACACCAACAGCTACGCACATCCACACCGACCACCAGCTCCCAGGGCACTAACACGGAGCGGCACCAAGGTCAAGCCCAACTGCTAACAGATCCATTTCTGCTGCACCTGCAATTACTGCAAAATTTCATAATGATTCAGGGCAGAAGAGCTGCCTCCGAGGCTGGACACCATCAGCTGCTGGGAAGCTGCTGTGAGCGGTGTGCATGTGGATGCCTGCAGCTCTGGCCACGCAAGCACAAGAGAACAGGGCACAGCCTTCAGCGAGGCCACTCCGGGCATGACCCGGTCACCATGGTCTCCACTCCCACCATCCTCAAGGGTCCAGCTTTGGGAAGTTCAGCCTGAGCATGGTGGGAATCTACTGAGGATGGGGAGCCCTGCAGCCCCGCACACAGCAGTGGACCTCCTCATAGGGATGCAAGCTCTGGGGCTTGACCCCACTCCCCCAGGAACGAATCCCTCCTCCTGTCAGCACTCTGCCAGCCTCAGGCAACTCTCTGCAGGCAGTACTTGCCGCAGGCAGGGCTCTCTGCAGGCAGGGATGTGCCTGGGGGAGGGGGCACCCCCCTCTCCCCGCACACCACAGCACAGGTACCCTGCAAGAGGCAGGCGGCACGGGGAAAAGGTGGGGAAAAGGCAGGACTCTCGTTTCCAGCTTCCATCAGATAAGACACTGAAACCCAAACAGATCAGATCCTGCGCTAAGACTCCAGTAATTAACACCGGCGAGGCCTGGCCAGCCGCGGGTAAACAGAAGGTATCCAGCAGAAACACCCACCAGTCCCTCCTCGTGCACTTGGAGCCTGGCCCGACAGTCACATGAACATTAATATACGCAATCTTATTAAAAAAAGGTCGTAAAAGCTGTCAGGGAAGGGGGATGATGAACTACCGGCACGCATGGTGACAAGAGGAGCAAAGACAGGCCAAGCCCAGTGCACAGGGGTGGTGGAGAGAGGAGGAGCAGCTGCAGCTTTCCCGGAATCCCCCGGCCATGTGCAGGTGGCAGGTGGGGGGAATCCCCCGGCCATGTGCAGGTGGAGCGGTGGGAATCTCGGAGACAGGCCAGAAAGCCCAGTGCACAGGGGTGGTGGAGAGAGGATTTTAGCCTTGGAAATGGAAGTGGCAACAAGAGATGCTCAGTCCTAAACACCGAGTAGATTTGGCTGCTGTGAGGTGCCACCGGAAAGCCCCATCCCCATCTCCATTCCCATCTTCCATCTCGGTCCCCCAGCACGGGGCATCACCACCCGTCTGTCCCTGTGTACCTTGGTGATCTTGGGGTCGGTGCAGCGGCTGTTGCCGCTGCTGGCATGCATCCAGCTGCTCTCGTAGGCCAGGCAGTGCTGCCGCAGTGAGCAGCGTCTCTCCGACACGCACCAGCCGCACTCGAAGCGCGGGTCAGCCTTGAGGCACAGACCGCAGCTCTCCCGCAGGGCCGAGCACTTGTACAGGTGGGCTGCAATGGCAGGAGGAGCATGGGGGTCAGCACAGTCCCCCCAGCCAGCAGGGACAGGGTTTTGGGGAGAAGGGCACCTGCTCTCACCACCCCCACTGCATGCATGCCACCAGCTCCCAGGTGGACAAACCCCCATGGGCAGGAGGCACCAGCACCCTGGACTCAACGCCAAGGCAGAGCTTTGGGATCTCTCCCAAAACTTCTTGGAGAAAAGCCTCTTGTTTAGAAACCCATCTGACTGATGCAGCCGGAGCATCGCTCCCTCCCCCAGGGCACTAGTGCAAACTGCAGTCGGGGCAGGGGAGAGGGGTGGGCTGGAGCCCAGGGTGGGCACCGGGCCTCTTTCCCATCCCCATCCTATCCCTCACTCACCCTGGATGTTCTGGGGGTTGTCGATGACGAAGTTCCCATTCCAGACCACGGACAAGTTGACCGGCAGGTCGCTGATGTCGTTCCCTTCGTAGAAATACTGCAGAAGGGTACAGAAGGAGGCAGAGCCTATTAATAGATGAGGCAAAATGCCCCGGTGAGGGGCACAGAGAGGCATACAACCCTGTTATGTGGATGTCTCCCATCAACCCAGAGGAGAGGGATGGGGGCCTGCTTTGGACTTGCTGGCTGGGAACAGACAGGTCTAACAGCCACTGGTCAAAGCATCGGACACAGCACATGCAAATCAGTAGGCTGGACTGGCAAAAAAAGATAAATAAGCAAAATAGAGGGTTTCTAAATAGACCCAAAACCCATTAACACAAAGGTCTGAAGCTGCTGCTGCTGGGAGAGGAGGAAACAGATGGTGTCTCTGCAGCACACACATACCTCTCCCCACCAGGTACCCAAGCCCTCCCCCATGTCCTCCCCACTCCAGGGACACTCAGTTGGATGTTTGGGATCAGGTTTGGGATCACACTCGTCACTAGTGAAGCTCAGGGAGGATAGGCTGGGCACATGGCAGGAGCGGATTCAGTAGAGCCGCCCCTGACTCCCAGTGGGAAGATGTCCCCCATGGTCCCCTCCAGCCCCATCGCCCATAACACAATGTCATGAAGCTGCGGCCATGCAGCCATGGGTAGGACAGAGCCAGGTGCCAGCCTGGTGCCACGCCAACCCTCAGAAAGGTCTTGGGATAGCATCCCTCCCCTCCACCCACCGCCTCTACACTGCACCCCCAGCTGCTCTGCTCCCAGTCCCACGCTGTGCTTGGCCATCAGCTGTACCCTGCTCCAGGGGACCCACTGCATTCCCAGACTCAGGCCCCAGTACCTGCTGCTGTCCAGACATACCCACCTCCGTTGCTCCTTCCAGCCCAGCCAGCGCCTCCTCCCCACCCAAACCCCTCTCCCCTGCCTTGAAACCCAAGCCCCAGCCCCGGCAGCCCCATCAATATTCTCTACACAGCCCCTGCATGCAGGCAGAGAGGTTTAATCGATACAGAGGCAGGAAGGCAGTCGGAACCGTCCCTGACAGCTAATGACCTCCTTCGGCAAGAGATTCCCCGCTCCTCGCCCGAGAAAATGACAGGCGTGTCAGGAGAGATTAAATGAATGATTCATGGGTTGCTGGAGTTTGTTAGGGAGCGGCGGACACGCCAGCAGCGGCTCACCCGGCCGGGGGGCGGCCGGGCCCCGCCCCCCCCCCCCGCCCCCCGCCGCCCCCCCGGGCCCGGGCCGCGGCGGTGGGGCCGACAGCGAGCATCAACTTTCGCAGCCCTGGTGCCATACCTGGAGGAGCTGGCCTCAGCATCTCCTCCAGCACTGTCCCAGCTGCTGCCCCACAGAGCACATTCGTCCCTGCCAGCGCCAGGGACAACTCCAATGGGTCTTCTCTGCTCAACGCCCTCCACAGGAGGCAGGGACATGGCCCACGAGAGAAGCCAGCATGCCCAGGTGGCTGCAGGAAGCAAGAGATGTTGGGTCCTTCTCACCCTACCATCAAAGCTGGTCCCTCCCGTGCTGAGTCTCTCCCAACCAGACAGCATCACCAGCCACAGTCCAGCATCAGACGTGGCACCAAAAGGGGGCACACGTCCGATGTGAGACATGGCTATGGCAACGCACCCCTCCCTCGACCCTACAAGGTACAAATGAGAGGCTAAGCCTGGTCCTCGGTTGCACCTCCACAGCTTTTGGCTAGTGGTCCTATGTCCAGGGACCACCCCACCCAAGCGCAGGCTGGAGGACCCCAAAACGCAGCCCTGCCTGGGGAGGAAGGCTGCTGCTGATCAACAGCATGCAGCAGTTCTAAGGCATGAGACATCCAACTGCAAACTCAACCCTTTCTTGAGCGCCCAACAGTTCTACCACCATCTCCCCTCTATAGGAAGAGCCCCATCACCCCCCACCATGCAGCGTCTCAGACGCGGCACCTCTCACAGTGTTTGCTCAGAGGACCTTCAGCCACATCTCCACCACACACCATCTACGACCAGGGCCTCACCTTCCCCTATCCTACACCCACCCGAGGACATCCCCAACAGGACCATGATGAGGAGCTGGCCAGGCCCGCAGCAGTGAGCAGAGACCATCCCCTGGCAACAGGAGGGAGCGCGTGCTGGGGGAGGGCAGCGGCGGCACCGGAGCAGAATTTAGCTGTGACGAGCCACGTGGCAGCGTAAGTGAAATTGGCATTTTCAATTTGTACTCTGACATGTCTCATTTGGGGCCCTGGCATCTTGGGAAGGCATCCAGCCTGCAGCTGTCCAAAACACTTACTTGCATCTCTCTGCCCTGGCTGCTTTTGGAAATTAGTTCTTCTGGGAGGTGGGTTGGAGGAAGAAGAATAGGGGGAGAGGGAGAGAGAGCATTAACTCTTCATGCACCAGCCCTGAGACAGCACACGCACAAGAGACAGTGTCCCTGTGGGAAAGGACAAGGCTTCCCCTCCAAGCCACTGTGCTGAGGATGCTGAATTTGCCACAGCGTGGAGCTGGAGCGGATGGTGGGTCGCTGCTTCAGCAGCTGGGAGCACAGGGCTGCGTGAAGGGAAGCAGCAGGCAGGAGCAGGAGTTGTGGTTCTGGCTGGCGTTCGCGGTGTGGGATCACCAAGGGAACACGGGTAACAGTGAAAAACGTGTCCTCAGCATCTGCGTGTCCATCAGCAGTGTCACCTGCCCTGCAGAAACAGGCAGCGGGCCCGCAGCTTGGATGCAGTTACTGGTCCCTGTAGGGTGCCGGCACTGGAGCAGCGGCTCGGCTGCGTGCGGACAGGAGCTGCGGCTGCAGGGGCTCAGGGCTCAGCCTCCTAGGACGCCAAGATCCATCAGATCCCTCTCTAATTTCCAAAGCATCTCTTATGTTGAAGGACATTTTCAAAAGACCTCCCTGTAGCTGCTCTTGCCGTAACGCGGGCAGGAAGGTGCCCTCTCCACCCATGGGCACAGCCACAGCCCGTTCGCGGCAGCTGAGCAAAGCAGCAGCCGCTTTCCGGCCCTCAAGGCCCCCAGCCAGTGCAGATCAGGCTGGGGGGTGCTTACAAGTCTGTACATCCCATGGGATCCAGACAAGAGCCCACGGGCAGCCAGCAGGTCCCATCACACTGGCTCCTCCCTGCTTCTGGCTAACACGGTGCTAAACATCCATTAAACACTTAAGTGTTATTAACTTCCCAGTTAATCAATTGCTGTGGCTGGCAGCGATCTGGGATGAGCCAGGGGAGGGGAGGCCAGGGTGGGTGTGAGCAGGGGGGTGCACCTACCCAGGCAGCCCTGCTAGGAGACCACCTTTTGCTCTACAAAGGCACCCAGAACCCCACGGCTGTGCTGAAGGCTGATGTGGCACAGCGGCTGCCGCAAGCACAAGTTATGGGAAAGGGACATTAGGTCTGGGAGCAAAAAACAACAGGCACAGCCCCAAGAGCAAACCAACAGCACCCAGAGGAAAGAAGCGTGCTCGCGCAGCATGGCCCACAGAAGGGGATGGCAGAAAAGATGTCATCGAGTGAGTCAGCAACAGAGACATGAGCTTCTCGGCTCCTTACCTAACCTGGCCAGCCTTTCCGTCCCTCTCTGGAAGAGCCTATAAGGTGAGCGTGGAAGGGCTGACAGAGGACACGCCAGCCCCACCGACCTGGATACAGCTATTCCCAGCAAGGTGTCCTTCTGCAGGGAAGCGGTTCAGGCAAGAGGACTCCTCACCAAGCCTTTCTCAAGGCTCTTCACCCAAAACTGATCTCAGGCATCTTTCCCAAGTAACAGCCGACAACCTCGTGTGCTTCTCACGTCTCCGATTCTCACACCTGCCCCATCTCCCCATGGGGGATGCCCACCGGCCCAGCACAGTGCAAGAGCTGCGTGTGCCACCTCCCCTGAAGGTCTCACATTTGGTTCTAGCAAGCCCACTGCTCACCTGTCCGCCGGCAGCGATGGGCACCGACAGCCTCCCAGCTCCCCTCGGGGTAAGGGATTCAGCACTCTGGGGAAGCGCCTGCAGGGAGCCGCACTCCCAGGGGACAGAGCCGCAGCCAGCGAGGAGGCACCCCAATTTTGGGGGTGGATCGCACTGACGTGCACTTCAGGATGCTCCTGCAAGTGCCGTGCCAACTAGCCAAAGGCACTAGCCTTTCCCAGCCCAGTCGAGGCAGGGTGGCCCCTTGCCACGGGGCATCCATCGCACTCCAGCCACAACCTGCACAATCCAGCAGGTTAAGGAAGGGAGGGACCCCGCTCCCCAAGGAAGGCAGAGGAGGGGCTGCTCCTCTGCCCGCTGTGAGCAAACCCACACATCCAAATTTCCTTTGCAACCCCCCTCCCTCTCACATGCACCATCCCCCTGGGCTGCTTTTCTGGAGGAGCGCTTGGGCTGCAGCTGTGTCCTATTTTTCTGTAGTTGATGACCTCAACTCCTTCCCCGCACTACGGGGACGGCAGTAATGTACATCGCGTCTCGCCAGGGCTCAACTGCAATTCATCATTATTTTATCTGCTGGAATTTAATTGGATCCTATCAAACTCTCCTGATACTCCCTTTTCACTTTAAACACTGCTGCAGGAAAGATAAATGTAGGCACCACTAGGACGGAGAGCATGGCTTTGTTGGCAAACGGTGCTGGGGTTGTGGGCTCCAACCCTGTTTCCCTCTCCATGGCTGGTTAATTAGAGATACATATACTGGAGGTGTGCGGCGCTCAGAACAGGGCATGTGTGTATGATTTATGTTCCTCTATAAATACACCCTACGCCTAGTAAAATACCGTCATCCACACAACAGCACAACTTGACGGTAACGCTTGGCCTCTGATTCTGGATCTCCTTTTGCTCTTTTCACATAAATCTCCTCCTTTCCTCCCCCATCACACACAAGCTTCTTCGCCTGGATTCCTCCTGCCTGAAATTTGGCAGGGTGTTAAGCAAGAACCCGAGACCCTAGGAATATGTCAGAGCAACACTCAGGCTCCACCACAATAAAAAAATACCCAGAAAACGTAAATCTACCAGGTCTTGCCTGCCTTCCCAGCATCCACACCTGGGGCTGGGCATCCCAGCCTCAGCATCTGTGCTGGTACCACTCGCGTACCCACCCCACCAGCCTGGCTTGCTCCGCACCCGCATCACTTTGTCACGGGAATAAGCCACTCCTGGGTGAACATCCCAACCCGAGCCTGGCCAGAGGGGAGCAGCCTCCAGAGCCACAGCCAAAATGGGTGGGCAGGGTGGGCTGCCCGTGCCAGGGGGATCGGCAAGGAAGGAGCCAAAAGGGAGCCAGGGAGGTGACACAGCTGCTCCTCACCACGTGAGGCTTTGGTTAAAAGGAAAGGGAAATAATTGAGGCGTGAGGCTTAATTTAAAGTGCTGAGACGACAAACTCAAATGCTCATGGAAAGGAGATCGGGGTTCTTCCTATTTTTACATTTAAAGGGAAAGAGCAGCTCTGGGGCTATTTCAGCCTTAAGAGGAACATTCTGGAGAGAAAAAGCCAAGCCCTTGGCAGTGAGAAACACCTGTAGTCATTTTGCCAATGCCAGGACTAAATCGGATGAAGTCCAGTGTTACAAGCAGTAGTGTGGATTCGGGACTGTGGTACTTTCCAACAGCAAAACTGTTTACTTTTTGCAGCAATTGGAAGAATGAGCCCCGTTTAGGGATGGCAGATGGAAAAGAATGGGCAAAGGCAGGGATGCTTGGAAAATGAAACACAGTAGCATCATCCGCACACATTAAGAGACGGTTGACCATTTCTCCATCCTCCGCTGCAAGAAGCAAGCCTGGAAATGTCTGCCTCCAGAAGATTTAAAGTAATCAATTAACAAAAAACTAGTTTACTGGCAAATAATTTATTTTCTTAGTTAGGCCTGTCTTTCCTTTTTGCTTCTTTACAATGCATGTGGAAAACCTTTAGGGTTGCTTTCGTTTTGAAGAGCAGAAAGAGACCAAAGTGAGGAGGCAGAAAAGGGTTTTTTCTGCTTGCTTTTTGCCCTGGGATGTGTGGGGAACACTAGGCCTGGTCTCCCTTGAGTTTGCTGAAGATCTATTGGGTGTCTCAAATGATGTTTATAGTCGACACTCAAACCTTAATGAATGGACTGCTGAATATTTAACCAAGATGTCTTTTCTTCAAAGTGCTAACAAGTTATCGGAGTTTGACAAGCACTAAAAATAAACAAAAGACAAAGAGTTTTAAGCGGGCTTGACTTATTATCCCTTCGATTCACCCGCAATTCAGGAAAGCATCCCTAATTCCGCAGAGTAATTAACCTCTTGTTTAGATCCCACTGAACTCCTGGAAACAAAGTGTGCTTAAATACCTTCCCGAGGTGAGGACATCCATTCCTCACTTGCTGGCTGGGAGGATGTCATCCTTTCCCTATTCCTCCACTCACCAGAGTGTCCTCCACACCAGGCAAGACCCGAAATCCTAACCCAAAAAATGAATCGCAATGGAAGAACCAGGCGGGTCACCGGTGGGTGACTGCGCACGAGCCTGAAGTGCTATCAGCCAGCCAGATGGACTGCAAAAAAAGATGGGGAGGAGACAAGCATCACAGAAGTGTGAATCTGAATCCCCCACACCATAAAGCAGCCTGGCTAAATGCCCTCAGACGTTAAGGCAGGTGAGCAGACCCTGAAAGCAAGACAGCTTCTTTTAAGCCAAAACTCTCTTCTTCCTTTTGTGAAGCCACCCTGCTCCTGAAAGCCAAGTCTCCTGTCTGAGACCACAGCCCCACATTGCTGCTGCTGCCCGCTCCCGTGCCCACGCAGCCCGCAACGCCTCCCACGTGCTCTCCGGCCGATTTGCTTTGCTTTGCTTTCCAGGTGTCCCTGGCAATTTTCAGGTCAAACGTCCAACACTGTCAGCCCAGGAGAAGGTGTCAGTCACCTCAGCTCTGTATGGGGACCGTACGGTGGGCAGGCACACCTCAAGCTGTCTCATCCCTTTGGAGAAGAGCTGCAGAGGCCATGCAGCTCGTGACACCAGTGCTGACAGCCACAGCACCCCTTGGGAAACACAGGCAGTGGTTTTTGCTTCCGCCTCTCCCTCCTGCCCTGCAAGTTGAAACTTACTGGGGAGAAACGAGTCCAAATGATTCAGACTCCCGCTCCGAGCCCCACCTCTGTTAGGTAAAGGCTCTGCTCTGGCACAGGCACCTCTCCCCCGACACCCCGCAGGAGCCATCAGGCTGCCGCTGCCGGCACCATGCAGCTGTGCCACTTCTCTGTGGGGAGCATCCTGCAGCACACACCGTCCCAAACTGCTTTTGAATGAACTAAGCCAAACCACATGCTCAAGAATTGGGCAAGAGGGAGCTGCCGGCTCCACCAGCTGCAGGCAGAGGACACCTGGCAGGAGGCTGGGCTGGACGACGGGCTCCGGCCAGGCAAGGGCAGGGCCTCACAAGACTTCCCATGCCCCGGGCAGATGCGGTTTTGGCTCCCGGGTGCTCACACAGCTCTGCGCCCAGCCAGGGTCCCCGCAGGCTGGGCTCTCTCTCTGGGACAAAGAGGCCCCATTTCTTCCATCCTTTGCAACAGAGCAATGGTTCCTCCAGCCACAGGTGCTCTGGCAGTGGGGCCAGGCACAGACACATTGCAGAACAGCCCTCGGACAATCAAGCAGGTACCTGGTGTAACCGGCCTCCTGCCAGGACAAGGGCGGCTCGGCTGACCCCCAAGAAACCTCCCATGTGGCTGCGATGGAGGCAGAGCAGCCAAGCTTGGCTACCAGCAGCAATGAGACCCCAGCAAAGGGACCTGCACCAGGGAGATGTCTCTTTGCACACACGTCCATCACGTTCCCCTCGAAGCACTAACACTGAGACGTGCAGGCGACAGGCAAGACTGGGTCCGGGGACAGATCCACATGGGTGAAGCCCTCATGAGGGTCACTATTAACACCAGGGATAAGCAGCCAAGCCAGGTCTGCTGGGCAGCACTCCACCTGGCTTCTTTTCTTCCCTGAACGCAGCAGCAAGATGACAAACCTTTGCTTAAGCTGCCTTGCTAATGGCTTCTTGCAGCAGAGCCCTGCAGGCACCACTCTGGTCCTGCGCCTCCCTGGAGCCTGCACTTTGTGCCGCTGCCTGCATTCGCCTCCAGGCCAAGCACAGATCCACTGACAACATTTCCAGCCGGCAGCTCAGGACAGGGAGCATTTCTGTTCCTCACAAACCACGTCGTCAAGAAAAAGCCCCAACAGCACAGCATCCCCCCGGCACTGCTGCCCAGGGCAGGAGGCGATGACTCGGGATGCTCCTCCTGCCCAAAGGCTCCACAGCCCCGAGAGTGCAGGAGAAGGGAGGGAGCCAGGGCTCATCTTCAATGGCTTCTAAATGTCACTCATGCCACCAAAGGACAAGGAAGCAGGGATCGGTGCTGGTGTTAGGCTGCAAATGAGCTTTCACAGTGTGAGTGATGGAAAACAAATTTTAAAAGGATTAAATGGGAGGGAGAAGGGAGGAGCCAGCTCCATGCAGACGAGGGCAGGTCGGTGCAGAGCCCAGCGGGGCAGCCGAGGAGCTGAGCAACACCAGCTCACGGAGGGGCTATTAACACCCTGGGTGGGTTTGCTCATGGGCTTGGTGCTCCCTGCAGAGGATTACTGCACAGCAAGGGGCACACACAGAGCTCACCGAGGGGCCGCAAAACACCCTCTCGCTTAGGGATAAGGCAACCAGAGAGCACAGAGCAGGCAGAGCTGCCTGCAGGAGAGAGCTTAAGTGACACAGCTGCAGGAAGCAAGGACAGAGAGGCAGGGAGCGAGGCACCAGCAGGGTTGGGATGGAGAGCAGGCACGCAGGGGGATGAGGTAGCTGCTGGTCAGAGCTGGGGATGGACAGGGGCTGCAGGGGAGGAGGGGAAGCGCTCGTGGGGCTGACAGGCATGGCTGCATGCAGGGGAGTGTGCGCAGCGGGACACGGAGAAGGTATTAGCTCGATCCTGCCTGTAAAGTGGGATGGCTCAGTGTCAGGGGGAAGCAAAAGCAGGCAGAGGGGAGGGGGAGTCAAGGCTCCAGCACATCCGAGCCAGCTGGCTCCGGCCCAGGCAACTTTCTTCAGCTTTCCAAAGCCAATTTCCTTGGAAGTGCTCCTAAAGCCTGGCGCCTCCCCCGGGGCAGCTCTGGCGTTGATCTCATCCGGAACGACCCCGGGCAGCAGCCTCCCCGTGCACCTGGGGGAAGCGGAGGGGAGCCCACCCCGCACCCCACAAGCACCAGAAACCCCTGTTACCTGCCCACGGGAGAGCAAACCCAGCCATGCAACAAGCCGGGAAGGTCCCATGGCAGGGCAGGAACGAGCAGCCCGCAAACGAAGCACACGCCGAGGCGAGCCACACACTCACAGAGGTGTTCTGGCACTGGATGCTGGTGCTGTTGAAGCGCAGGGCGGTGACACGGGTGGTGCTGCCGGGGATGTGGAAGATGCACTCGTAGTTGCGCTGGCCGGACTGCGGCTGGGGCAGGTTCTTGGCCGTCAGGGTGATGGGTTTCACCACGCCCACAGGGATGTAGATCTGGGTGGAGGGCAGGATTTGGGGGCAGTCCTGCAAGGGGAACAAGGGGCAGCCAGTGAGAGGGGAATACCGCACAGCCTCCCCCAGCACCCCTGGGACCCCTCCTTGGCTGGCAGGCTGGGCAACGCGCTGCGAAAATACCACCCTGAGCACACGCTTGAGTAAATCCTTATGTGCAGCCAACCCCAAACCAGCATCTCATGGCTGCTCTGACCAAAGCCCTAAAGACAGAAAAGAGCAGCACAGAGGGATCTGGTGGCAGGGCAGCGAGGTGTTTTCCATAGCTCGTGTTGATCCAGGCGGGAAGTGGGGAGAGGATTCAGCTATAGGACCTGCAACCTAGCACTGTGACAGCAGCACATGTTTGGGCGAAATGACTGGTAACGAGATGGGCTTTCATGCCGTCATTGCAGTCAGTAGGTTTCAGAGTTAACGCCCACTGGGCTGTGCATTGTCAGGCTGCCCTCTCAGCCCTCCTGTTTCCCTTATAGCCTCCATTCCCCTTCCTTCATGAGTGGACAGAAGAGCCTTTTCCCCCTTTGACACTACAACGTGCTTCTGCAGTGCTGCCGAGAATCTGCTCTGCAGTGAATTTTGCTGCTGCTGCTGCTTCTATACGCAGTCAGCTCAAAGCAGCGTCACTCCAACCAGCCTGGCTGCAAGCTGCCCAGAAGACAGCACCTCCAGCCAGGGGATGCTGGTAAGTCCAAGCCGGGAAGGAAGGCAAGGGCAAGAGACTTGGCACCACCCTGCAAGCCCCCCACGCTCCCCAGGGAAGGAGCCGTCGGGAGGGCAAAGCACTCAACTTTTAATAGCCACGGGCTCCCAGCTGCTCCAGGGGAGCCGGTGAGCCCTGTGTGCAAAGCACAGGGGAGCAGGAGGGAGCAAAAATAAATGAGCTCAGGCAGCAAAATAGCTCCGCGGCCCCAGCGGGTGCCACTTCAGCAACAACAGCCTGATGCAATCCCACGCCGGCCTTGCCGATCCTGGCGGAGGTCTTGCACCTACGGCAGCATCTCCTGGAAGCGTCGGCTTGAAATAACATCAAGGGGGAATAATGCGTGCTGAAACGAGCTGCTCCAAAAACAGGAACGACAGCAGCAGCGCCAGGGGTGGACGCAGCCACCCTCCTGCTCTCACAAGGCTGCTGACAGCCACGGCTGTGGGGGCAGCTCTCGCCCCAAGGCCACCAGGAGCCACGCGTGGCCAACACTGCCCAGCTGCCTCCTGCCACCCTGCAGCGAGCCGAGCCGGACCCTGCACAGCACCGGGCTTTATCTCAGCTGGTAGGATTAATCTAACTTTCAAACGATGCAGAGAAATGAACAAGAAATTGATTCATTTAGCAAATATTGACAGAAAACCCCAGCTCCTTTTACTCTCCAAGTTTCCTGTTCTTCGAGAGCCCGTATTCCCCAAAAGCACAATTTTTAAGGGAAGACACTATTTATCTGCAAAACATGCTAAACAAAATGAAAGCAGTGAGGAACAGCAGTGACAGCCCCAACCCGGAGATGGCGACGGGGCTGGAACAGTCTGGGGACCCTCCGTGCTGCTCTGCCACCTCCCTGCTCCGTATCACAGCTGCCCCTCTGCAAAGCGGGGCTGAAGTTGCCTCCCCTTTCAGAATCAGGTCAGGGCTCACAGCAGGGAGACCCCATGTGCCCACGGCCATTTATAATGAGCAGTCCCCGCCGCTGCAAGGCGGCCGGTCTCCACTGGCTCAGGACCAGCTCAGAAGTGCTGATGGATGGAGATGTCCCCACCTGCTTGATCCCCCTCCACATTGCAGGGGGACCCTGCGGGTGGCACACGCCTTCCCTGTGGGGCACACACACGCTCGGCGAGGATTAGCTCCCGGCTCACTCTCCAACACCTCCACCTCCTCATTTTTCCGTAATTATTACTGCCAGCCCAGCCAGGGCAGTGGGTAAGTCCATGCCACCCCAGCTGGGCTCACCACGGATGCTCACAAGACCGGTGCACAAGGAGCACGGCAGGCCCATGCGTCCCTCTCCCTGCGCAGGCAGGCAGGCTCGTTTTGCTGACTCGCAGTTTGAGCCAGAGCCGAGTCCCCCCACGACGTCACATGCTCCACATCTGCCGGCAGAAGTGTGTCATCCAGCAAAAATGTCAGCCTGCGCCCAAACAGGAAGCACCTGGTGCTGGTGGGCGCCCGGGGTGCCCGGAGGGGTGGGGGCACTAGGACAACTCATTTCCCCTACAAGCAATTCCAACCGCTGACAAAACTCACTCTGGCACTGCCTGGCACTTACATCCCTTGGGAACGCTCTGCACAGTCCACGGAGCTCCCCGTCCTGCCGAAAACAGCCCCCCCCCAGCAGAGCCCCAGCTCCCAGGAGCAGGCAGCTACGAAAGGATGGGACGAGCAGAAAAGCAAGACCCTGACACACACATTCCCAAACATCGCACAACTTGGATTTTCTCCATTAAAACCGTTTTTCTAGCTGGATGAGAACATGACAAGGGTGTCCAGGTTTGCTTGGAGAGGTAAGAGCTTTAGAATCACGTTGCAAATGCTGCAGTTTGGGTTCCTCCGGCAGCTCCCAGCTCCAGCTGCAAGGCTGTGCCTTCAATGGAGATGGGGATGAAGGCAGTCTGGGGCTGGCTTTTGGGGGTCCCTCACAAAATCCTCAGCCATTCCCACTGGTGGCGGAATGAAGAAGAAACACAAGCTGAAGCTGCTTAGACTGAACCAACACACTTGGTCCCTGCAGGCCAGGAGCCTTTTACCCTCTGCAGCAGCTCAGCATCAGCAGGCAGCAGGGACTGTCGCAGGAGAGCAGCTTTTTGGGATGGGAGACTCCAACGTCCATCACTGATCACCCTGAGGCCACCACTGGGCACCCGGAGTGGGGAAAATCGAGCAGCAGCCTGTGCCACTTCATCACCCCTTCCCCAGCCCTGCACCCCAGAGCAAGCCACAGAGCAGGGCAATCTCCGGAGCCCAGGGTTCAAAGCCACCGCAGCTGGCGGGCAGGGACATCCTTCCTGCTGCCGCCGTTCCCAGGCACATTTACATGAGTGGTGGCTCCTACCCACGCCCCGTTCCTGCCCTGCCACCCCCAGAAATCCAGATGAACATCCCCGGCACGCCCAAGAGAGAGTGCCGTGGGTCACTCTCTGCGTTTTCCTACAAAACAGCCGCTTTCCCACCCAAAAAACCATGGTGAACCACCCGTGGGAACCATCAGAGATGGAGTTATGCACTGCTGTTAACCCCCGTCCCTGCCTCTCCTGACCAGTGCCCACCACACTTCAACCAACGCAGACAGACCAAATCCTGCTTAAAATAACCCTCCCAGTTAGACACCTTCCCACAGAGGGGATGGGGCTGGACGTCCACCGTTAACTTGTCCAGCAGTGCCATGGGCTGGCACCGAGTCCCCCTCACCCGCCACAATGCCCTGCTGGGGACCGGGACTGGCCAGGGATGGGGACGGGATGTCTCATCCCAGCCCAGACACACAGCCCACAGCAGCGGCTGGTCTGAGGGTGTTTCGCCATCTCCGCCGGGAACTGCTGAGGCCACACCAACGTGCAAACAGGCTGAGCCAGGCGCTCCAAACCTCAAGCCAGGCACCGCTCCAGGTCCCAGTGTGGCCAAAAAGGTCTGCCGGGGGACAGCCTGCCTGTGCTCAGGAGTGACACAAGTTCCCAAGCAGCTGGTCCGTGGGAGAGCTGCATGCGTCCCAAAAACAACACCCCTGGGGGGTACAGCCAGATGCTTCTGGGTTCACATGGCAGGGAAGGGGGAAAAGCCCAGCAGCCTCCCCCCTGCCCTCAGCGAGGGGAACAGGCAGACAAGAGCTGCTGGGCTCCAGTGGTCTGGACACCACATGTCGCATTTGCAGAAGCAACGCCAGGGCTGGCTGGAAGCGTGACCTCAAGAGCAGGCCTCTGGGATGCCTGGGACAGGCCGATTCCTCACCGGATTTCTTCAGGGCACAAGCTGGGAGAAAACAGCTTTTTCTCATCTTTTCGTATGTTACCGAATCCCTCCTCCTGTGGGGCCGCTGGGCTGGGCTTGTTCTGGCTCGTGCATCACATGCTCGAGTACCCGTGAGCACGGTGCAACCCCCTTGCACTCGGATGGTAACTCCAGGGAGGTGAGGGATGGTGCCAGAGCCCGGAGTTTGGCCGTTTGGTGGAAGGGGCAGCGGAAAGCCACTGCTGCACCATCCGAGAGGCATGGAGCACTGGCGGCGGGGCTGCAGCACAGCCCAGGCAGCTGCATGCTTGCTGGCGGTGGAGGGGCAGGAGGGGCTGTTTGACGAGCAGAGTCTTGTTCCTGGCACTCGCCTGTTGCTGTGCAGAAATGGCAAGCGCCAACCCCACCTGCCCATGTGTGGGAGCGATGGTTGGGCTTTTCCAGCTCTCCCAATGCACTTGGCTGAGAGGCAGCTTCGCTCAGCTCCACACCCAGAATAAGGATCACAATGAGAGCCCAGCAAAGCCCTGTTCAGGGACACCACCACCTTCTGCAAGTCCATCTGCTCCTGAAGACCACGGAGGCTCCAAACTGCACCCAAGTATGAGACCCAAGCAGATCTCTCTGCAGGTTGCAAAGCCCAAATGTTCCCCCGTAGACACAGCAGCTCCCCTGGGAAAGGCAGCAGGACCAGGTGCTCCAGTTTTCCACAGGGATGTGGTGGGTTGACCCTGGCTGGATGCCAGGTGCCCACCGACCCGAATCAGCATTTACTGTAGTGCCAGCGGTTGCTGGCCAGACCTCCAGACCCAACCCAAACAGCCAGCGATGCCACCACAGGCTGGGAACGCCGGGACCTCCTGCGAGCACCCTGCCAGTGACAGGTTTCCCCGGTGGGTGGCACGGATGCTGTGCAGGATGAACCCCCACAAAAGAACATGTTTCTTAGCAAAGCATTTGAGACAAAGAAGGTGTGAGGTGCAGTGAAACGGTTTGTTTTACGGATTTCAACCTTCCCCTCTCTGAAAACAAGTTGTTCCGCAATGACAGTTCAAGCTTGCTCCCTTCAAAAAAATCAAAGGAAAACGCTTTAGCGTCTCTGCCTTTGTTTTTCCCTTCATTCAGCCTAAAGTGCTCTTGGCTGCGCCTGGCTTCCCAAGCAGCCTCTCCACAGTGGCAACTCCTCAGCCGACACAGCCCCTCCCCACTGGCACACGGTCCCGGCAGCACTTCCCACTCCTCCCTCACTGCTTCCCAGGCAGCCCCAGCACCCTGGGCAAGGTGGTGGGAAAGGCTTCCAAAACAGTTTGCCCTCTTCTAAACCCTTCCCCTTAGGGCAGGGGGTCGTGACAGGACCGGGACAGGAGAGGGGAGCCGGCTCGTGTCGCCTTACCTCAGAGAGCTTGACGCGTCCCTCCAGGAAGGAGCAGTCGGCAGCGTTATGGGTGCAGATGTGGCGGTACTTGCACCAGTGGCAGGGGAAGGAGCCATTCACGCAGGACAGGCAGCTGCGGAGAAAGAGAAGCAGTCAGCGTTAGGGCAACGGCAAGGCAGGGTCCACCAGGGCACTTCCCGGGATGCTTCTGTGGGACAGCATCCATAGGTGATCCTGTATCTCTGACCCCTCATGCACGGGGCGAGGGCTGTGCACCAGCAGGCTGGGAGGGGAGATGCCTGCACACGCCAGAACCCCCGGGCTTTGCCCACAGCAGGGCGAGGGGAAATGGTCTTTCCGGCACCACAGAGTTTGTGCCCCAGCCAGGCCAGCCACGCTCCCTCCTCCGCTTGGCAAGCTGACCCTGCCTGCCCTGCTCCTGGGGTGGGGCCAAGCTCCAGACTTTGGGAGCTTTATTTGGGTTCGCTGAAAGGCGATTTTAGCAAGAGGTGGCAGAACAAGGGCTCTGCACCGCGGGGAAACAGGGGAGAAAGGGCCAGATTAATGCACGCTCATTGAGAAGAAAATTATAACTGGTGAAAGGTTGGGTCAGATTAACATTTCGGGACTGTAGCGCTTTTCAGCCGCTCACAATAGGTTGTGTGTGACCCCCTCCCTCGGCCCCCCTCGTCCTCAGCCCTCCACAGCCGCGCGTGCGTGTGTGCGTGTGCTTCCACCCCCTCCCTCCAGCCTGCAACATTTCCGTCTCTCTCCCCAGCCTCCTCTCCAGGCTCTTTGTGCAGTGGGATCGCGCGTGCCCCCCTCTCCCCACCTCTCCTGGGGGATGCCGGGGGCACCCGGGGATGCCCGGAGCCCCATGCCCTGCTCTGCAACCCTCTTCCCGAAGAAACAAGCCGCAGGGACCTGGTGCCTCTTCCCCACACAGGAACGGACATACAGTCCCCCCCTTGTGCAACCATCCACACGAGCAGCACCCCAACAGCCTGTCCCCTTGCTAACCTCCTGCAAAAGCACACCCTCCCAGCACCATGAGGCATCCCTGTTTGCAAGCATAGGGGATCCCACGGAGCCCCCCGGCCAGAGGGCAGCTTTCAGCGCCCTCACCCTCTGGGTATGGAGGGGGCTGAGCCCTCCCTGCCACGCTGTCCCAGGGCAGCAGCGAGGTCCCACATTAATGCAGCAAGCCTTCACGGGGCAGGTATGCACCAGGCACGTCCCCTGCAGCCCAAGCTGCCCTCCTGAGGAGGAGACAGGAGAGCTGCTGAAGCATAAGCTCAAAGGCAAGAAAAAGAATCAGACTGGTTTAAAA